TAATAAATTATGACTTAATCATCTTAACTTGTAATATGTGGAACTAACTCTCTTACCGCGCAGGTTGGCTATAAATCAATATCATTTATCTTGACTTTTCCAATAACTTAATTATTGCACAATGGATTAAACCTTTTGGATTAATTAATCGGAATGATTATCCTCACCCAAAACAAAGAATCCCACTTTCTTTTGTATGTTTCCTTTTACCTTTGATCTGCATGTTAAAATATTTAAGACATCCACATTAAAGAATTTTCATATATTTTAGTGAAGAAAAATCGTTCATAAGCATAACTATGGTGAGTACACCGAGTGTAATATTAATATTGCATTTTTACCAGAGTAGTCAAAAAGCTGGTGACCATTTCTTAGAACTTCCTCCCCTGCTTCAATTCAATTTCTTTGGAAGACATAGATATTGCATTATTCCAGCAGAATTGGTCAAAGTCAACAATTTGGGCATCCAAGTGATTAAAAGAAGATAATTGACGCCATGAGACGATTCTCACTGTAATATTTTTGAAAATATTAAGATCAGGGTTAATATAAAGTCATCTTACATTGTACGTTGTTAATAGAATATGTTATGAATTCACGTCAAGTAATTAATTAGTAAAACTATTTTATCATATTAGTTCCATTGTCAGAATCCCACGACCACCAAAAAGGCCAAGATGAAGTATTTTATCATACCAAATATTTTGTAAAATAATGAAAATAAATCATTTCTGCTGACCTGGTGCATCACTTGGAGCACCTACTCTTTCAGATCAACGAACATCTGGAAAACACAAAAATTAATGATGATCGAGGGCATAAGATCTTGTCTGTTATGATTTCAAGCTACTTTTTTTTTGCACGTTTCTCTTTTCAAAGAGAGAAGCACTTCATATTGGAACATCCACAATTCATTGAGAGAAATTAAAACATAAAAAGGATCGATGGTTGTCGAGCATTTCTCTGACTTTTCAATGAGCTGCAGAGCTTTGAAAATCATTCAAAATGTATTTAGTGTGTATCCTTGGAATAAAAATATGGTTCCCATCAATTTGGCTAAAAGAGTTGCAATTAATATATTCAAGCCAACTAATTTGACCGAAGACTATCAACTAAAAGATCAAAGGGTTGAATAATTGATTCATGGACAAACTACTTAGGATGTATAGCTGAAGATGGTCTGTAAATTGATCATGAACCAAGACTTTGCTTCAGAAAGTCAAAAGTAGAATGTCAATATCAATAATTGTCCATCTAGGTCAAGAAGTACTATTTGTATGTGGAATCAAATATGCAAATTCCCAAAAAAGAAAACGTTAAAATAAAGAAGATAACGATGGAAAACTAACATGTCGTTTAGTCCAACTAATGAACTAGCCTAATTGAACGCAAGACTTGATCAAAGAAAATGGACTTGGCCATTCCCATTCTTTCTCATTGATAATAACTTCCCTAAGTAAAACTTAAGTTCATAATCTAGTCTATAGAATTGATGAACTCTGAAATCGGCAGTTTCCGTAAGATAGGGAAAAGTAATAAAATACGGTACATTACCGCTTACACTACAACTATGGTGAGGCATACATTGGATCGGAAGGTTACTGATAATATTATGGCATGAAGACTAAGTCCACACTTACGCTTTCAGAGAAATCAGCAATGCTGACGCAGGTAGCTATCAGTATAAAAGTCAGCTTGTTATAGTATAATGTACTGCTGTAATATGTGCAGGGTTGAGTTTGTAATGTTAGAAATGTAGAAGGGTTGCTTTTGTAAAAAAGTAAAAGAATAACAAAGAAACGATGACGTTTTGCCTTTATGTAATATAGTAGAATGTATGTTATATAAGAAGTCGTTCTCAGCTCTGTAACTAACTAATTCAATACACACATTTTTGCTGAATTGTTAACCCGCCTTTTCTCTCTGTTTTCTTTCTTGTTCCTTCTAGATTTTTCTTGTTTTTTGATAAAAACTTTCATGGTATCAGAGCTATAGACAAGCGTCAATGGCTCAATAGAATCTTGAATTCTCTAATCTCACTTCAAAACCAGAGATAGAACAAACCTGTGTTGGAACTGGAATCAATTCCAGTATACAGCCATCACTTCTTACGATTTCAGTAAAGCTTGGAGAAAAGAATTACAGTCACTGGCGTTCTCAAATTCTTCCAGCGCTTGCATCTCATGATCTTGATGGCTTTATAACTGGTGAGAAAATCTGTCCACCTATACTTGTTATTGAAAAGCTTGATAATTCTAAAGATATTATAAAAAGGCCAAACCCTAAGTACTTTAATTGGAAAAGAACTTGTTAATGTTTGGTAAGCTGGTTATTTTCATCAATATCTGAATCTATGTTCAGACATGTAGCAAAATGTGTGAGTTCTTATGAAATTTGGAATACCTTGGAGTTGCATTTTCAATCTATTTCAAAGGCTAGGACTCTACACCCAAGGAACTTATTACAGACCACTCAGAAAGACTCATTAAGCATCAACGAGTATGTCCTGAAAATGAAGGAGTGAGGGGATGAGCTGGTAGCTAGTGGTGTTAATGTTAGTGATACAGAGATTTTGTTGTATATTATGGATGGTCTTGGTCCAAAATATGACACGGTGGTTGCTAACTTGACTAACAACAGTATCACAACAAGTATTCAGGAGGCTCAATTCATGCTTCATAAGCATGAGATAAGACTAGAATGACAGTACAATAGTTTGACCAATTTTCATGAACAAATGACATATGCCTTACTTGCTTCTAGACAAGAATCCACTAACTCACCTATACCTGCACCTAACTTTGTAATGAATACAACACCTAAACTTAAGTCGTTGCTATCCAACTATCCTTAACTATCAAGCTATGGTTATCAATCTGGTACCAATATTAGCACTACTGTAGGAGCACCTCGTTATTCTACAGGACCAGGTGTTGAGTTTGGGAATAACAGTCCTCATGGCCAAAATTTTGGTAGAGCTTACTACTTACCTGATGCACAACAGTTCTTTACTGGAGGTGCTCAACTGAATAACAATCTAATGAAAGGAGGAGGTAGAGTTAGAGGATTTTTAAAACAAAAATTAGTGTGTCAAGCGTGTGGGAAAACAGGACACTTTGCCATACAATGTTATCAACTGTTTGATCAAGAGTATCAGGGCTTTGTTGGTCCAAATTATAGTTCTCAACCACAGCCAAGTGGCTACACTCCATCTGCTCCTCCTTCGAATGTGTTTAATGAATAGGAGTGTAATCGAGTCGAGCCGAGTTTTCGGCTTAACGTGCTCGGCTCATGAGAGAGGAAGAGTAAACAATCTGAGACCGAGCCGAGTCGAGCCAGAAATTATGTGGCTCGGCTCGGCTTGGTAATGGATTTGGCATATTTTGCGAGCCGGCTCCATCTCCAAATAATTTTGTTTTTTTGTTTTTTTAATTTTTTTACAAAAATTCGCTAGGCAGCAGTCTGACTGTCCACCTCCATTTTCTTTTGTTTAAATTATTTATTATTTTATCAATAAAAAATCAAAATCATTTTTTTAATCTTATTTTCTTCATTCTTCAAAGGTATAGGGCTCTTCAAATTCTGTTGGCTTGCGTTTCTTTGTTCTCCAATGTCTGAAATTCAAATAAATGCAAATCATAATTTAACTTTGTCTGGGCAGCAGCCATCTCCAAATAATTTTGAAGCTGAATCATGTTAAATATTGAAAATGAGAAAATCTAGTTTACAATATTTAAATATGGCAGGCGAATTCAGAAGGGCTTAAAATTGAAGAATCATAATTTAACTTTTCATTAATTTGTTGGGCAGAGGAAGAATTACTAATGTCTGATGCATGTTGTTAAAATTTTCACTTTTTATTTATTTTGTCAAACTGATTCATTTATTTTTCGCCATCCTCAAACAGTCAAACTAAATTCTAAATGCTAAATTTTCACTTTTCATTTATTGTTTTTTAATCTGCTGGGTAGCACGCAGGTCTGAATCTGATTGTCTGAATGTCTTCTCCTGTCCTCATACATCACCCAATAGTTAAACCTACTTAAAATCAACATTAAATGAAATGCTACTGCTATTAACAATTTATCATTTAACATATTGTATGTACCACAAATTAAGTTAAATGAACTAAATATTTTTTGTTTAGTTCACTTGACTTAATAAAGTTTTCACAAAAACAAAATGGGGGATTAGCATAACTATACATCAAGTGACATCCCCATCCATCAAAAAATATATATATAATAGCAAAAGATAATTGGTTGTATGTCCATTGTAGCCCCACTCCTCCTACAAACAAATTAATGTGAAACATATCAAGTATAATTGTCATTTTATATAAACCGTAAAAATGAAAATACAAACCTCAACACAAAAGTAATAAATATATACTTGCAGAATCCTACTGCCACAGCTAATAACTCACGAGTGAATCAATCAATCTGTTGACTCCCATCACCTAATAGAACAGGAAGCTGAATCTCCAAGTGATCCTCATCCTCCTCTTTCTAAGATGAAAAAGAGATAAAAATAATCCACTGTAAGGCATCGAATGAGTCATGATCCCCCACACACTTATGTCATCTCTCTCCCAAATAACAGTCTAACTCAGACTGACTAGGCTCAACAGTTTCAAGCACGTCCAAAAAGTGCTAAAATCATCCCAGGCCTCGGGTCCCTCAACTGCAACCATCTCACTAATGGCTCCATGTCCATCCCCTTGTGATGTTGAAGCACGGGCGATAGTCAACCCTTGGTTAGCTTGAACATACTCCCTATATAACTCATACAATGCATCCCGGACTGTCACCATATTTGCCCGTCCTTCTGCCTCAGAATACATCTTAGGGAATGCCCACTGAATAACCCTCATTTTCAACCGAGGATCCAATACAACAGCCACAGACATCAACACATTACATTCCCCCCAATATTTATCAAACTTCTGTTTCATTTTCCTAACCATTACTCTAATAAAATCATCTTCAGATTCACTTTTACTATTCAACATACACTACACACACCTCTTTCAAGAATAAATTAGACGTCAGATAATCACTTCCTGAAATAAGTTTGGTTGAACCACTAAATACTTTCAAAACTTCACAAACTTTCTCCACTTTCTCCCAATCCTCGTCACTTGGATTATTATGATAATTGATATCCCTCTCTTTCACTCTTGGAAAAACCTTTTTGCACTTAATTGTCGTTGCCAACATTTCATAGGCAGAATTCCACCTTGCATTAGAATGAAGAATAAGTTTCCGATACGGCAATTTAAGTTGTTGAACAATCTCAGAAAATACCTTGAGTCTGCTTTCTGAACTGTTGATATACAACACACTCTCATAGATATCATCAATGATGTGCCTAATTTGATGAAGTCCATCTTGAACAATCAGGTTCAAGATGTGTGCGCAACATCTCACATGAAACAGTTTACCTCCACAAAGGAGTTTCCCTGAAACTTCAAAATTTTCTGTCAAAACCTTAATTGCAACATCATTACTTAAAGCATTATCCACAGAAATAGTATATACCTTATTTTCAATTCCCCATCCCATTAGGCACTTGAAAATGCCATCCGCAATCACAATACCAGTCTAGGGAGGAGGTAGACAAACAAAGTTCAGGATATGTCTATTCAGCCTCCAAGTACTATCTATCCAATGCTCGGTCAACACCATATACTCCATTTTTTGATTCCCTGAATTCCATAAGTCTGTAGTCAAACTGATTTTTGTCATAGTCTTCAACAAAGTCTTCAATTTGGCCTTCTCACTTTCATATACCTTTATACAATCTTTTTTACAAGTATGGTGGGAAACTGGAGTCCATTCAGGAATCCCATACTTCATCATATTGTTCAAGCCCTCTTCCACCACAACTGTAAATGGATGCTCATGCATAAGCACCCAATGGGTGATCAATTCCCTCATTTTCGACATGTCAAACTTCCCACTTAAAGCTGGCAAAATAGTAGTTGGAACATCCTTATCGGCACTCAGAAAACTAATATGTTGTTGCCTCATGAAAGTTTTTCTCCTTAAACACCAACTTAAATGTCTATTAAACTGGGTGGTGCTTCCGGTGACATTAATACACAACTTGACTTTGCAATGGATACACTCAGCCTTTTTGGTGCCATTAGGGAGTACCACCTCCTTTAACTCTGACCATACCACTGAAGTCTTTGCTCTTTTTTGCTTCTGAATCAGATTTTGATTTTCATCATCATTATCCGGGCTACTAATTCTTTGCTCCGTATTAGTAGTGGTTGCATTCAAGTTAAGGTTACCACCAGGTGTATCGGTAATTGTAACTTGTATTGCAGGGGTACTTAAGGAATTACCCTCCATTTACAAACCTATAAATGGAAAAAAAAAATCAACAATTTAATGCAAAACCAATGTGAAATAATGTCAAACTATTACATTGCACACACATCAAACCAATACATTATACATTGCACACCAATATTAATTGTCACCAATACATCCCAACGTTTATTTATTCTTTAATTAGAGACATTGGTTTTGTATCATGTTTGATTAAGTTTCACATGTTATATTTTGAAATTTGTCTCACTTTCATTTGCAACTCACGTGATAACTTATGAATATGATAATATTTAGAATTTAACATGTTCTATTTTGAATTCATTAAAGTTGCATATATAAACTTCATTTATGTAAATAAATTGGAAGGGTACATAAATTGAATTTGATTGAGCAATGTGGCCGCACAGCACTTGTGTGCATGCATGAGAGATGAGAATCAGACTTGAGTATGGGGCCTTGGTCTTGGGCTATGTGTTGTCATGCCATGCACAACATTGTTTTGCAGAGAAATATTTTATGTGTGCCTGAGCTGATAATATATGATGTTTAAATATGCAGGGAGATTGGCACTGTTGGCATTCTTGGGATTTGTGGTTCAACACAATGTGACAGGAAAAGGACCATTTGACAACCTCTTGCAGCACCTCTCGGACCTATGGCACAACACCATTGTTCAAACACTAAGGGGTTACTAAATCAATTGTCTTACTTTTGCAATCATTTTGAGTGAGATTTGAGCATCAATAACATGGGACCTTTAATGTACAGGGGAACTTAGATGGCATTTATATTATCGTTAACATTACTTGCCCTAATTAAATTTTACTTTCTGACCATAAATGAATACATACAAACACAAATGTCATCTACTCATCTTTAAGGCACTGGCTCTTCTTTCTTTACCCCACATCAACACATTCCCACAAGTCAGAAACAAATTTTTAAATCCCCCAGTCCCCACCACTAGATGCAGGACCACATTCCCACAACAAGCCACAAACACATTTATAAACTACCTGTCGGTCAGTCCCCACCACCAAATGCAAAACGCCATAACCACATTCCCACAAACAAATTTATAAATAACAACCAGTCAACCATTAACAAACTGCAATTGAAATTTTGTCCCAACATAACCACAATCACAATTAACAAACAATTTGAATGTCAGTAAAGCAATTTAAATAAATAGTCAAACAGACCCAAGCAATTTGATGAAGATCCGATGAAGAAACCCCCTACTGACCGATTAAAGTCCGACAAAAATCTGACAAAGATGATGGTAAACCAACGAAGAAATTTCAGATCTGACGATGATGATGACCAACCGATGAAGAAACTTTAGATTTGATGAAGATGATGACGAACCGACGAAGAAACTTCAGATCTAACGAAAATCCGACAAAGATGACAATGATGACGAAGATCCAACGGCTGCCGAAGGTCCAACAAAGATGAACAATATCCGGCGAAGATCCGGCGAAGCTGATGAAGATGAACAAGATCTGGCCGAAAATCAACATTTTGTGAGGAGTTTGATTCAAATTTTACGGCAAGGGTTCCACTGCTGACGAATTTTTTGCGATTTGGGGATTTTAATAACGGGGGCCAGTTTTTTATTTTTTAAAACTTGTTTGCATTATTTTCAATTAAATCCCAATGATTCAGAAATTCTGAAAAAACCCCCGCTTTTTCGAGCCAGGCGAGCCGAGCCTTGTATGGCTCGAACTCAGCTTGTTTTGTCTCACGAGCCGAGTCGACCGTCTAATAACGAGCGGGCTCGAGTCGACTCGTTATCAGAAGAACCGAGCCGTTAACGAGCTGACTCGCGAGCTGCTCGGTTCGTTAACCAGCCCTATTAATGAAGGTTCTAGTACTCCAACTCAGGCCTTGTTTGCGAATGCACTGAATCATGCCAACTTTCCTGCTTACACATCCAATAATTCACAAGTGCAGAACCCTTCCTTTGATTCGTTTCATGATCAGTCTGCGTCTGGAGGTCTAAAAGTATGTCATAATTCTACATTATTCTATCCATCAGCTACAGGAAATCAATATTCGACTATACCTACTTATCATAACACCAATGTTGATGCTTCCAGCAATCTGCCACCGCGAAGTGTCAAAGACACTTTTTCTGGTTCAATTTCTCATTTGTATACTATAGCTACTCCACAAACACTCCATGATCAATCCTGGTATATGGACTCTGGAGCTTCCAATCACATGATAGCTGATGGATCCAATTTGATGATTAAATCCAATTATCTTAGAAACTCCAAGGTGCAAGTAGGTAATGGGGAAGCTATTCCAATTACTCATATAGGAATGTTGTTGATTCTCTCTTTGATACTCATAGATTGATTCATCTTAAAGATATTCTATGCATTCCCAAAATTGCAAAAAACTTGCTAAGCATCTCACAAATAACTAGAGACAATAAGTTATTGTGGAATTTCATGCTGATTGTTGCTTGGTAAAAGACAAAAGCAGTAGAGTGGTATTGCTTCATGGCACTATTAAGGATGGATTGTATCAACTCGAACTTTCTCATGATGTCACCTCAACTCCAGAATTCACTAGCTCTACTATTGCTGCTTTTTTGTCCTCATTAGAAGCTCTTGTTGATTCTATTTCAAGTGTTGTTAACAGTAAAGCTGCTTTAGATTCAAGTGTGGCTAGTCATCAATCTACTAGCATCTGTAATGCTGTTGAAGAATTGAATAAAGTTGTTACTGTTTCTATATCAAGTACTGATAATAATGAAATTGTCTCTGAATCAAATAATGTTGTTCTTAGTTCTACTGCTATGTGTAATACTGCTGCAAAATTAAATAAAACTGCAAGTTTAGATTTGCTTTTGCTATGGCATGCAAGGTTAGGACACCCCAATAGTTTAACTCTTCATGTTGTGTTAGACAAATTGGATGTAAAACAACCTTTGCAACACAATAAAAGTTTCTTTTGTGAGGCTTGTCAGTGTGGAAAACTACAACAATGTCATTTTGTTGCATCTTTTTCCAAAGCAACAGTCCCTTTAGAGTTGATTCATTATGATCTATCGGAACCAGCTCTTACCAAATCCAAAGAAGACTATAAATACTATATCATATTTGTTGATGACTATAGCTGCTTTACATGGATATATCCTTTAAAACTCAAGTTTGAGGCTTACATAGCCTTTGTTCAATTTCATTGTTTTATAGAGAAGCAATTAAACCACAAAATAAAGGCATTACAAACTGATTGGGGAGGTGAGTTCAGAGCCTTTACTGGTTATCTTCAACGTCATGGAATCTTATTTAGAACTTTTGCCCATATCTCCACCGGCAAAATGGAAGGGTGAAGAGAAAGCACATATCCATCACCGAATTTGGTCTCTCCCTTTTGGCTCATACTGGGATGCCATTAGCTTACTGGTGGGCTGCTTTTAGTACATCCACCTACCTTCTCAACATACTACCAATATCAGTTCTTGATTTTGCATCTCCATATGTTGTTTTGTTCAATAAAGAGCCTAACTATGGTGAACTCAAAGTGTTTGGTTGCAACTGTTACCCTTATCTCAGGCCTTAAAATAAGCACAAACTTGGCTTTTACACAGAAAAATGTACTTTTGTTGGCTATAGCCTCACTTACAAAGGTTACTTATGCCTAAATTCAAATGGTTGAATTTACATTGTCAAGCAAGTGAGATTTAATGAACTTGATTTCCCTTTCAAAACTGGTTTTACTTTTGCAAATGTGACAGTGGCAGAAAGTGAATCTGTCTGAAAATTCATCTTCTTCATCCTGGAGACTTCCACAAAATTCGGCAGTTGAGTCCTACATTAATTTAGTTGATTCTCATGTGGTGTCTGGAACTCCTCTATTTCTAATAATTTTCACGTTCAACCAGCAAATTTACCTGGTCTACTAGTGGCCTCTCATGAGTTGTCAGGAGATCCTTCTAAACCTGCTCTTATTCCTACTGGTTCTCATGATCATCCAGCTGACTTACTTGGTATTCCAATGGTCTCACATGAGTTGTCAGGAAGTTCTTCCAAGCCTGCTCTTCCTCAGCACACTAACTCTCTTAATATTAAGCATGAGGATTCTTCAAATGCTAATCCTTCTCCTTCTATAAGTTCAATAGCTAATTCCTCATAGCATAATGGCATAGCTAATTCACATTCTCAAGCAGCTCCTATCAGTCCTATTGAAGACGCATCTGAGCATAATTTGTCTACTTCAACAACTTCAGTTCCAACTAGTTTTACCTTTAATTAGGTTTATATTGATTCAACTTCAGCTTTGAATGTACACCCTATGTAACCAGGTCAAAGACTGGTACTCAGCTTGTCAAAAGGTATGATGCTTATCCAGCACTGAAAATTTCTGAATGGAGACAAGCTATGGCATTCGAGTATCAAGCCTTATTGAAAAATGATACATGGGAGCTGGTTCCATATGAAGAAGGAATGATTGTAGTTGGTAGTAAGTAGGTCTTTAAGACCAAATTAAACTCTAATGGTACCCTTAAAAAATATAAAGCTAGGCTGGTAGTCGAAGGCTTCCAGCAGAATCCTGGAGTGGACTATTTTGACACCTTCTCACCAGTGGTTAAAGCAACTACTATTAAGGTAATGATGTCCTTGGCAATTCATCAAAGGTGGGATATTTAATAGTTGGATGTGAATAACGCATTTCTAAATGGTGAGCTAATAGAAAATGGTCTTCACGCTTCCTCTTGAAGGATACTCTGAGTTTGAATCACATAAAAATATTTCACAACAAGTATACAAATTGCGAAAGGCGTTATATGGCCTTAAGCAAGCTCCTAGAGCTTGGTTTGATAAACTCAAGTTTGTGTTGCTCGATTGGGGCTTTGTTAATTTAGTATCCGATGTTAGCCTCTTCTTTTATAAAAAAACACTCTACCATCATGCATTTACTTGTGTATGTAGACAACATTTTGGTGACTAGAAATGATGATCATCTGATTTCTAAACTAATCACAGACTTGAATGCTAAGTTTG